ACTTTGTAGTTGAAACAGTTTAACAGTATATAAAAGAACTATTTAAATAAGATGATTGAAAATATATAGCTGTTTTTGCACACATCAATTCAATTTGTGATTAACTTTACTGAAATAAAAACAAATTAAGAGAAATGGGGTGATCTATCAACTATAACATGAAAAGCATCATCCTATTTCCAAGTCTTCTGTTAATTTCACTTATTAAACAACTATAATTATTCAATAATCTTGATAATTCTAGGAACTCTCAGATATCGTCAAAACATGAAAAGAAAAATTTACTTCCTATAGTTCTTACGTCCCTTTAGCTGAAATTTAAGAAACAGGGGAGTTAATATTCTCACTGAGAAAGTTTATAAAATACCTTTAAGTAAAATCTCTTCGGATCTGCGGTAAAATACCTTTTTTCTTATTAAATAATTTCAATAATCTATGTTTTTATTTATGACAACCACCTAATAACCTAACTTTAACGTCAACTTGACAATCCTGAAAAATATTATTGTTAACCAAAGAGTAAATCAATTTCTGAATTCGCTAACGCCAACTTATTTTTCATTAAAAAAAAATTACCAATTTTCGTAACTAGGTCGGTCATGTTGAGGAACTTTTAAAAGAATAGTACTATATTTTCGGTGAAACAGAAAGTGACGGAAAACAATTGAATACGTCAATCAGTCCTAATTTATGTCATATACTAACATTCCAAATTACGTTTTTGGATCTGAAAAAATAAAAAAGTTATAGCGACATAATTCCGGAAAAAGCCGAGCAGCTCCGACATTATTCAAAGTTTTGGATTGCATCCGTTATCAAGAACAGCGCCAAACAGTATTTACATTGTTCTTATGGACACTTTCCAATCTAAAGTTTTTTTTTATTTCTCTATGCATTCATGCTAAAACGACATCAATAAATAAGAGAAAATGAAATTTTCGTGAGCATTAAAATGACAGAAATAACTGTCACTGTCATGTATTCTCTCGTTGGACAGACCATAGTGAAGAAGTATAGAGAAAAACACTAGATTCATCTTCTATTTATTTTATTCATTGACAAAACATGTTTTTCCTAATGTTTAAGCTACAAAAATCACTTAATCATAAATCATCATATCATACAAACACTAACCCTAAGTAATAACATGCTGTTAACAATTGGTTCGATTTAACATATAGGAAAGTCAAATTCCTCAGTCTTTCAATATTATTATGTATTATTATTGCATATTTTTTATGAAAAATATATATAGGACAATTTTTTTTCTGAAATATTTCGGACAAACTCTTCCAATTTAGGTACAGTAGAAATTGTGAATTCGTAATGCGATTTTATATATTAGTTAGCTAAGTACTTTTATTGTGATGTAGTAGAGAGGCACATACATATAGCATATAAATAAATCAGTAATGAGTTAAAAAAAAACAAAAATAAGTAAAATATAGAAATAGATAGAATACAAGTGAGTAGTAAAGATAATTCATGTAGTGTCGTGTAGCTAGAATTTACTCAACGCCTAGATGCACTTAATATAAACATATACATGTGTATTTGTTTGCGTTCTAATAGAACAAACTATATAGTTTTTGATAACCTAGGTATATAATGCAACTATTAGTTATTTTTTATACAAGACGATAAAATGGTATTTCCCGTAATCCCGAAATTAATCTTTTCGGCCGACGATAATGCAATTATATCGTCGTTTATAAAACAATATTTTTTTCCATAGCAAGTTATCTTTTAAAAAATATTCAGAAATTATTATTTCAAGGAATTTATTACGAGTAGAAAAAATATTGCGCTGGGTTGGCGTTGGTTTCTATGTAATTTGACAAATAAATAAAGCTGTCTCTTTAGTTGTCAGTTTTGAGTCAATATTTTTTAATTCTCTTTCGTGTCGATTGCTGATTGAATTGGAGCCAGAAATGGCTCAAAACGAAATAAGTAAATTACCAACAGATATTCAGGCTGAGGCGACAAACGCCATAATATCCAAACTACCTCCATTTAAATCCCGAATAACTTATGAAAAGGAATACAAAAATTTTCAAAAATGGAAGCAATTGCAAAACGTGGGAGAAGAAATAAAGTTTTTAACCTATCCTCGCTGTTAAAATTTCATTTAATCTACCATTGCGGTTAAAGTACTATTTTATCTACTATTTTTGATAGATATAAGGCCATTTTAACAGTTGCTATGGAAAAAAGTATATTTATTTTTCTGTGAATAACATTAAATATATTTTAAAACAAATTCAGGATTCTCTGGTTTTTTTTTCTTTGTACTAGGTGCAGTATTTGAATGATTTATATCAAGACCCTTTAAATTTTGGCGAAACCTTTTGTCGTACAGGGAAGGAATGTTGTCTCTATAAATAATGCCGCTATAATTAAATTCTGCGATGTTTTATCTCAAGTTAAGGAGAAAACGTTTCTAAAGAGAATGTAAATATTTTTTTAGTCTGATTTTTACTGTCTTAAATTATTAACAGACATAACGAGAAAATTGTGCGTATTTTTTTAGCAAAATTTATTAAGATCTTTTGCCATAGTCAGAGTTCAGAGTGTTATATATTTTGTACACCAATACGTATTTTTATTTATTTCATATTCAATAATATTACTTTTTTATTATATACAGAGTGGATCATGTTTATGGTAAGTATAAACGTTTAATTTTCGAGAACCGGTGATGAAAGTTTTTTTTGCAAAATTTGGATTTTTTCATAAAGACACACCTGCTCCATCTATCCAAGTTATTCTCAGCGTCACAGTGTTGCAGCTTATTTGGAAAGAAGTGGCATCTTTAATATTTTTAACGGAACACCCGGTATATAAATATATTTTTGGAAACTACTTTCATTTCTCATAGTTCTATTATACTCTATTTTATACCTATAGGGAAATTAAAACAACTTTCGTTGCACGTCATCAATGACACCATGCGTCGTCTTATGGAGTTTGCTGGTGGTCGTATTATAATGTGCAACCAAAGTTATTTTAATTTCCCTATATCTCTAATAGTTTACAAGATAAAAAATAAAACATGTGTAAAATGGACAGAAACAAGACCCTGAATAAGCATACGTAAAATTATGAATTGAACAAATTTAAGATTGAAATCTAGGTTATAGGTTAAGGAAATGATATATTCGATCTGTCTAAATTGCTGTAATCTTCGCAACTTTAATTGAACCCTTTGTATATTATTTAAAAAAAAAAAAAAAAGGTTGTAGCTCCTGTACTTATATCATGTTCCTGTACCTTAATTTTCCAGTTTCTTCAGTAAATCTAGTTAAAAATTAATAATTATATTATTATAGTTTCATTTCAAGAATAATTTACCGTAACAATTTCAAAAATTTAGAAAAATTTATAAAGCAAAGTCTAACTGATATATAAATTTCAGCCATAAGAAACGGAAATCCCTATATTTTTTTTATCTCCTTGTTGATATTCAATCAGTTACTTCTGACAGATCGGGTATGTTAACTTTCCTTAACCTATAGTCAAAATTTCATCTTTCAATTAAGAATATTATGATTTTTCTACTGCTTATTCAATATAATGTTTTTGTAAATTTTATACACAGTTTATATTTATATTAATAGAAAAATTATAAGTAAAAAAGTAGTTTCGAAAAATGTAATAATATACAGGGTGTTTCATTTAAAATAACAAAGATACTACTACTCTTCGATAATGGAGTAGGTGCAAGACTAGTAGAAGGTGTAAAAATCCAAATTATCAAAAAAATCCTGACTGGTTCTCCATAAACGTCTAACCTACCATCGCCGCGAGTCACCCTGTATATTCTACAATAAATGTGAAATAATATTGTGTCGATGTCAATGTTAAAAATTGTGTACACAGAAAATACTGTTATACAGGGTGTTTCAAAACAAATGCGAAAAACTTCAGGGGGCGATTCCTTGTTCAAAATAAAGGGTAGTTTGCTTCATAAACGTTGGGTCAAAAGTCAACCGTTAGGGAGATATCGCGGTACAAAGATGGCGGAAAATTAATGTTTTTATTTTTTATCTTGAAAACGGAAATCAACGGTCTAATGAAATTTTATCGGAGCATTACTGTTACGAAAACACACTTTCTGGTAATTTTTTCACTTTTTTAAAATGAGTGGAAGGGGTTGAAAAAAACTACCCTTATCATTCTTGTTAACGAAATTTAAAGAAAAATCTTATCAAACACATGCAGAAAAATTGATTTGAATAGCTTGGTTTATTTAGAAACTTTTTATCTCTTGTGTTTCTTTGATAAAACTCGCCGATTTGAAATTAAAAAATAACATGTAAAGCATTACATGTCAGGATCAAAAACATTTTTAGATAAAGAATCTAGTGACAATAACGATAATAATAAGAATCTAGATAATAACGTATTGCAGTAGGGTAATGTCAATAAAATACTATTAGAAACATCCTAAAAAGTGACAGCGGCCGACTAGATTTTTTCCTAAAAAAATTAGAGCAGCCCACAAGATTCTTTATCTAAAAATGTTTTTTGTCCTGACATGTAATGCTTTACATTTTATTTTTTAATTTCAAATCGGTGAGTTTTATCAAAAAAACACAAGAGATAAAAAAGTTTCTAAACAAACTAAACTATCCAAATTAATTTTTTTGCATGTGTTTGATAAGCTTTTTTTAAATTTCGTTAACAAGAATAATAGGGGTAGTTTATTTCAACACCTTCCACTCATTTTAAAAAAGTGAGAAAATTACCAGAAAGTATGTTTTCATAACAGTAATGCTTCCATAAAATTTCATTAGTCTATCGTTTTTCGTTTTCAAGATAAAAAATAAAAACATTATTTTTCCGCCATCTTTGTACCGCGATATCTCCCTAATGGTTGACTTTTGACCCAACATTTATAAAACAAACTACCCTTTATTTTGAACAAGGAATCACCCCATAAAGTTTTTCGCATTTGTTTTGAAACACCCTGTATAGAACTGAGTAATTTATTTTTTATAATATATCCACTGTTTTCGATACAGAATAATTAAAATACATTTCTACACGACACTATAAAATATTCTATTTTTCTAAAATAAGTAGTCTATGCTTTAGTGTTTTCTTTTATATGTTTCTAAAAAACCACTTGTATTGACAAAATTTGAACTAGAACAAAATTAATCCTACTTAAAACCTAAGAAAATAGTCAAAAGCGTTCCAAATCTACAAATACTCTTGGCTAAGTCAACGCTTTGTACGTGTTTCAATTCAGTAAAACTACCCGGTGTAAAACGTTGTTTTACACCCTAAAACTTCTCGGTGTTTCCTACAATACTTTAATTTCTAGCGCCTCTTACTGAACGTAGTCGCGCAAACATCAACAACATAAGAAACTAACAAACAAAAAGACCCTAGATCATGTATACTTCATGGATAAGGCACAATAATTTCTATGTTTTCTACATTTCCAACATGACTATAGATATATTTTTTAACTGTAAAATTGAGTGAATAATGTATCGGATTTTTATACATTGACCGGCATGAAAAAGGACGTTGTAACATATAAAAAACATTCCACGTTCCCTGTCAATACAGTAGTCTGTAGTGTCCTGTCTGGTAATCCAACGGTAGGCAGGTCAACAGTAACGATGGTATTATATTTGGTGCCCAACGTGGGGCGCCAAATAACACGTCAAAAAATTTACTCACTAGAACCAAATATAGTAAAGAACTCCCATTTTCCGTGCTGGTCGTTGTAGTTAGTACTATTAGAACAAGTAAACTTTATGTTTTAAGCGTTTTTGTCAATATACCATCCATTGAAACTTTATTTACTACTATTAAATTTAAAACTTTTCAGCTAAAATACGCACTGTCAGGAAAAATAGAAACAGAAAACATCATATGTACGACAAAAATAAGAAAAAAATAAGAAAAAATGTCCAAGATATGCTGACAATACAGTTAAAAGATTATGTAGCTTTATCCATGAAAAATACACGATCTAGGCGGAAAACAAACAAAAAATAAACGAAAAAATCTAAACTAAATTCGATCGGAACATCGTCAGCATCGGCTAGCGGCACAGCTTCAAATAATTTTACGTTCCAGCTTTTCTATCCTCTTGAGATTTTCTATTACGGCGTTGTGCTCGTCCAGTAATTTCCAGAATTCGTGTTTACGATGCTCGGCTTCTTCCTGTAACGGGAAAAAGAAGGTTTCTTTAGAAAATGGGTGTTTATTTTAGTAGTATACTATGTACAGGGTGTCTCATTTTGGTTGGGATCATACGGTATCTCCGTTATTAGTGAAGATAGAAGGATGCGGTTTGCACAAACCTTTCCCATTTTTTGTCAAGCGAAAGATGCTGTGAACATTTTTGTTTCTAAGCTACAGGGTTTTTTTGAAAATTTTGCAATTTTGAGACACCCCCCGTATCTCTGTTATTGCGAAAGCGAAGTTGAAAACTGTTTATTGTAGAACTTTTTATGTCGAATACAGTAGCGTTGTTAGTTATTCTACGAGGAGTATTTTTGAAGATATGAACCAAAGTTTTATTTTCTTAAATAGATCACCCTGTATATTTATAAATAATATGATCTGGCTTGCTAGGAGCTTCTCAAAAATATATAACACTCTATTTATTTTCACTATTTACTGCAATATTTAAAAGATGTCATTAAGAGATCTTTTTTATTATTAAGCCGTGATTGATAATAAAATAAACAAAATAATTATTAAAAGTATACTGCTATCTGTGCCTTGGAAGCAACTAATATATTCTTCCATTTGAGAAAACATAACTTTAGTTCATATATTCAAAAATATTTTTTTCGTAAAATAACGTAATTCGTAAAAAAATTAAAAGATAAAAGATCGTAAAAAGATCTACAATAAAGAGTTTTCACCTTCTCGATAACTTTAACAATAACAGAAATACGGGGGATGTCCCAGCTCAGAAACGATGGCTATGAAAAATTTATTTACAGCATCTTCCGTTTGACAAAAAGTGGGATAGGTTTGTACAAACCGCACCCTTCTATCATCACTAATAAGGGAGATACCGTATGATTTCAACCAAAATCCTCTCGTACAACACGAAGGCTCCAAAAAGTACGAGAGTCTGTATTGAAATGAAATTATAGAACCATATGTAGGATAATTTAGACCATTTTTAAAAATAAAAAAAGTTCCACACAAAATTGTGTTTTTTGTAATGTAACACCCTATATATTAATTGACTTTCGGATTCTAGAAAAAAATATAGGTGAGTTTCATTAGAGAAGCACATGACTAAAGTGCAAGGTCAAGGTCAACATTTTATAACAATGAAGAACAAATTTAATGAATTTTGAATATTTTAGAAGTAGATAGACTCCTGCTTAAGATTATAAAAGAGCTCTATAAAGAAAATGAAGCGTACATTAAGATATGACACAGGCTATCCAATCCAATAAATACCACAGAAGGGTTGTGACAAGAATGCAGCTTATCTCCTCTAATCTTCAATGCTTACGTTGAAATAGCCCTTAGGGAATGGAAGAGGAGATGTCAAGATATGGGAATTCCTATTGGGGACGATACACTATTTACTCTGAGCTTTACAGACGATCAGGTCGTGATTGCACAGGACGATCTGGAGTTTATATGAAGCTGAACAAATTGACACTTCAAGTTAGTCTAAAAAAGACTGAATACTTTGCTGTCAATTCCAACGCTTGATTTGAAGACTCCATCAATGATAATGTCCAGATTCAACAAGTAGACAAATTTGAATATCTGGGTGCTACTATCAACAGCGAGGGTTTGGTTTGGTTGGACAAAGAAGAAATACAAACCCGAATTCGAAAGAGCAAACAAGTTATTGGATGTCTTAGCTTCTGGTGGGACCAAAACGTGTCAGTTCTTTGCTATGGTTCGTGAGCTATGGACTCTGAGTGCAGACGAAAAGCGCAAAATCCAAGTTGTTGAAATGAACTACCTTAGAAGAAGCGTAGGATGGAAAAAAGACAAACATCGAGGTCAGGCGTATCATGAATGCATCGGAGGAAACAATACTAGAATTACTAGATCGAATCGGAAAATACAGCTTAAAGTGATTTGGACATGTTCTGCGTATGCCGGAGGACAAACAATTGGCTAAAAAAGTTTTTCAGTGGGCTCTCCAGGGCAGAAGAAAGAGAGGTAGACCTAGAAAATCCTGAAACGGAACGGTTAAGGAAGCAATAGAAGCTGATGACGCTCTAAATGGAGACGTGTGGCGTAAAATAACGGAAAGGCAGCAATAAGGCTGTAGTTCGAAATAAGTACTAAATACTTAAACCAAATCCCGATTATAGATGTATCAGAACAATTTTAAAGTTGCAATAAAATCTACCTAAATTGGAATTTACTCGGTGTAGCCTAATATGTAGTTAAAATAACTATTTTCCTTTAAATCAAACCCTTCACTTTTTATTTTATAGATATACATAAAGAAAATCTAGGAACTAGTGGGGTTGCAGTCGGAAGGGTTTGGACTAGAATTAATACACTTTGTTAATTGTCAAGCTTTCGGGATTTATTTATTCCATCCTTAGGACATCAACGTGGTAAAAAGACCTTCATAAAAACTACATTAAAAAATAGACTTGAGGGATGATTATTATTTAAAACATTGGAAATAATTGCGAGATATAATCAGACGGCTTAACCGCCCCAAGATAGCCCTTAGTGTGGTTGACTGGTCAGCGATATTTTTACTGTGGAGTTTTCAATGTATCAAGCCTATTTTTTAATGTAGTTTTTACGAAGGTCTTTTTACCACGTTGATGTTCTGAGGATGGAATAAATAAATTCCGAAAGCTTGACAATTAACAAAGTGTATTAATTTTAGTCCAAACCCTTCCGACTGCGACCCCACTAGTTCCTAGATTTTCTTTCTTACTAGTCAGTCGATACTACTGTCTGCTGATGTACAAATGTACAGAAATATATATTTTTTATTAGTATTTATGAACAATTTAATTTCTTCTATTCAATTTAGCTTTAATGAAATGTTTAAAATCTTTTATTAAGCATTATAAATAAAGAACCACGTCTGAAACGATATCATTCACTATTAAATACGTTTAAACCGACTTTTATTAGAGATGAATTCAACGGAAATTGTCAGTTGCCGCGTTGTAAAATGGGATGCGGAGATTCTCCAACCGGATTAATCCGGATAAAAGTGTTTAGACGATATATACGAATTCAATTTAGGGGTACGTTCACCCCTGGAATTGTTACCTCCTACGAATAATAAACGCAATTTTCGTACAGTACACGGGGTTCTAAAAATAAACTCGTCCTCTACAAATGTTTAAACTCTTCAAAAGGTTTTTTATTCTCAGATTTAAGTTTTAAAAGCTCTACCATGAAATACGTTTGAGAAGGCATGCGTTTGTCTAACTGGGTAATTTATTACGATTCATCATTATCATAATTTTTAGCTTAATCAACCATTTCCAATTATGGTGTAATAGAGGAGTATATGCCAAAATAGAGAAACAAATTAGCGAGACACAGTTCGGATTCCGCAACAATCTTGGAACTCGAGAAGCACTTTTTTGCATCCAAGTCCTTGTTCAAAGATGCAGAGATGTCGATCACCCTGTCTTTATGTGTTTTAATGATTTCGAAAAAGCATTTGACAGGGTAAAACATGATAAATTGGTTGCGATTTTGCGGGAAGTGGGCATTGATGATAAGGATCTCCAAATAATTAGAAACCTTTATTGGAATCAGCAGGCAAGTGTTAAAATTGGCAAAAATACCTCGGAAACAATAGCAATCCGTAGAGGTGTGCGACAGGGATGCATTATGTCGCCACTACTTTTTAATCTTTACTCTGAATTCATCTTCAGGGAGGCTCTCGAGGAAATCGATGGCGGTGTCAAAGTGAATGGAGTTAATGTCAACAACTTAAAATATGCTGACGATACCGTTTTGTTAGCCAGTAGTCCGGAAGAACTGCAGTTGCTGTTGGATAGAGTTACAAGTACATGCGATGAGTATGGGTTAAAACTTAACACTTAAAAGACTAAGCTTATGACCGTTAGTAAACATCCTATAAATCCGATACCAATAACAGCTTATGGAGTCGACCTTGAGCAAGTTGATATCACCTACTTGGGCTCTAACATTAATAACGATTGGGATATGAGCAAGGAAATCAAGCAACGTATAGAGAAAGCTAGATCGGTATTCTATCGGATGAAGAAAGTGTTATGTAGTCGAAATATTAACATAGAACTAAAGTTAAGACTTACAAGATGCTACATATTTTCCACTTTACTTTATGGGGCGGAAAGTTGGACACTCACAGAGACATTGCTAAAGAAACTCCTGGCTTTTGAAATGTGGGTGTATAGGAGATTGTTGCGGATAAGTTGGGTTGACAAGGTTCGTAATGAGGAAGTTTTGAGTCGCTTGTCCAAACAACCCGAAATAAATAAAAACATCAAGATAGTTAGAATATTTTGCGCACGTTATTCGACACCCTGAACGATACAACGTCCTCCATTTGATTATGCAAGGTAAAATAGAGGGTAAGAGAGGACCTGGTCGTAGACGCACATCGTGGCTTCGAAATTTGCGGGATTGGTTCCAAAAATCAAGTGCAGCACTCTTTAGGGCTGCTGCCAACAAAATTATAATAGCCAATATGATAGCCAACGTTCGTTGAGGACATGGCACTCGAAGAAGAAGAAGAAGTTTTATTTCAGATAAAAAAAATAAAAAAGAATCTCAAGTCAGAGTTTAAAAAACTATATCACAAATCGATTGGAGCAAATAATACAAAACTTTTACGAAAAATTACATTTTTCCTCGCTTTTTGTTTTTGTCTAAAAATTCAGAATATCTACTTCGTTTTATAAGATATTTCTTAATTTTGGGGACTCAAAGTGAAACATTTCCATAAAATATTCAAAGAACAAACTAAAAATGAAAAACAGTATCCACCGCAGTTTTCTGTGGTAATTACGCCGGCTGTGGCAATAGACAAGGCCGAATCCATCCTCGTCGCCTTGTATTATATCTCGTATCTGCCGACTGAATAGATTCCCGTGAACTAGTTTTTTAATTAGTTCCTCTAGTTCTTCTCAGGCCTTTCGGTGCTCGACATATAGCATACGGCTGGGTAACCCGCCTAGCATCGAGCTACGAAGCGCTGG